ATCACACTAATCCAGCACGTTATTAATCTCACGTGCCCCACTCAATATGGCCGCCGCTTGAGTGGGGCAACTCAGAATAATAACGTGCTGGATTAGTGTGATCCTACTTCATTTTATTACTTCATTGCTGTGCTGTATGTGTTTAGGCCAATGCCAGGGATCCCAACCTGAAATAAGCAATTTCAGGGAGGTGTCCCTCTCATTTCAGGGAGGTGCCCTCCCCCCCCCATCCGTGGAGGGGGGGTTAGGGGGGGCTGGGAGAGAGCACCCCCCTGAAATGATGGCAGATAGCACAGGAAGCAATAGCTTCTTTGCTATCTGCAGACTTTTTTTTTTTTTTTGCAGTTGTCAGAATAAAAAAAAAAAAGGCATAAGAATGCATAGCTAGATTCCTATTGGCTATTTCACTTTGCAATAGCCTATAGCAAACTAGCTATTGCACCCGCCCCCTGCTGCTTTCAATCACCAGAAGAGGACCTGATAGAAAAATTCAGGTCCCCCTCTGCTGATTGACAGCAGCAGTGGGCGGGTGCATTAGCTAGTTTGCTATTGGCTATTGCAAAGTGCAATAGCCAATAGGAATCTAGTAATGCAATCGTATGCCTTTTTTTTCTTTTCTGACTAACGGTCAGGCCGCGGCTCCCGATGTCAGAAAAGAAAAGAAAAAAAAACGATCCCAGGGAAAGGTTTAATCTGCTCGATTGAGCAGATTAAACCTTTCCGGTAAAAAGTGTTTCTCTCCTGGGCGGCCGGGAGAGTTGGGATGTGTACTCACCGGCCCAAGCGGCTCCATCAGGTAACGAAGGGAAGGGGGAGGAGTCCAGTGACGTCACGGACATCGACAGCCACTTGGGGAAGGAGTCCGGTGACGTCGATGTCCGTGATGTCCGACGGAAGACCCAGAAGCGGGTGGAGAGGTGAGTACGGATCAAAAGAACTTTGATCGATCAAAAAAATTAACGATTAAATTTCCGCAGCCCTATAAAAAATAAAAAACCCCAGCAGAAATTGAATACCATCAAAAGAAAGCTCTTTCTGTCCCCAAAAATTTGTAAAAACGTATTTCAGTAAAGCGTTGCATGACTGAATAAAAGTCAGTCAAAGTACCGTAGCAATGAATACTGAAAAATGGCCTGGCCAGGAAGGGGGTTTAACACAGTGCTCTTCAAATGGTTAAGCACAGATTCAGGTTTCTTGGTCTACTGAGCTACTGTTGTCATCTGTAAAATAATTTGTAAAAGTTTGTAAATTGAAGGCGGTAAAGGCATTTTGTTTTGGTTTTTTCTTAATTTAAAAAAAAAAAACAAGATGATCACTTACAGTTTGAGCTTCCGGAAGCAAAGGTGAACGCCGCAATATTTTCTGAGAATAAGTCCGGTTGTAGAACTGTAGCATCAGTCTGAGCCCTCCACGCCACTGCAAAAGCAACATTTGGAAATAAGCAGACACAGGGGTAGAACATATTTATCAGACATCAAAATGCAGCAAGCTTAATCTGGGTTCCAGTTATCACATTTTTGGAGTGAGGGGACATAAATGTTGGCACTCTGGCTATCCGAGTCCGAAGATTTGTTCAAGACTGATTTGAGCTCAAAAGAAAAACTGAACAGAGACACAAAGTACTAACACTGGTCTTTCAATATGGAAATATGAGGTCAGGGCTCTCACTTGTGATATACACACACACATACATATATATATGATATTTGGGGGACTTAGCACAATGTTAAGCGTGCAGGGCTCAGGTCTTAACTCCTTAAGGACGAAGGCATTTTTTTCATTTTTTACACCCATGTGTAAATGTGCATGAAAATTACTTAAAACCCCGAAACATTATATATTTTCTAAAAGCCAATATCCTATAGAATAAAATGGCAGCAGTTGCAAATTTTTATGTTGCACAACATTAGCACAACTTATTATCAAACCCCCAAATTTAGTGAAAAATGCACTTAAGTTAAATTTAATGCCCCAAAACAGAATATAAAACCATTTTGTTTTGTAAAATATAAAAGATAAGGTTACAACAACAAGTAAATGGATACCCAACATGCCCAGGTTAAAAATTGTGTGCGTCCGTGAAACTGCGACAGAATTGAGTACCCCAAAAAGTCCATACACGACGCTTTAAAAGCCCCCACAGTTCATCAGTTTAGAGATGCGTGGAAATATTGGCCTTAGAATTATTGCGCTCACTCTGGCATGTGTGGCGATACCCAACACGTGTGTAACGCAATCGTCGTTTTCGTACATAGGCCCACTCGACGCGTGTTTACATGACAACGCGCATGCTCGCAGGGGTGGGGGGGCTTAAAACATTTTTTAAAATTATTTTTAAAACTGTTTTTTTTTAAAAATTGCTATCACATAGGGAGGTTTACAAGCCACCCATGTGATAGCATAATGGCAGTGGCAGGTCCTCTTTAAGGTGATGCTGGTGGTCCAAAAGACCCCCGGTGTCACCTTGACACTTGCAATAAGCTGATCGCACTTCAATAGCTTATAGCTGGGCTTCAGGAGCCCAGCATTGACAGCTATGGGACCGGAAGTGATGCAATACGCGTCGCCCCTGGTCCCAGCTTCCTGCCGACATGCTGCAAGCCGGTTCTGGGCTCGTAGGAGAGGCAGCGGAGCCCAGAAAACAGGGCCGGGGTGTCGGGTGGCCCGGTTACCGGATCTTAGAAGCGATCTGGCGGCAGCTGAGCCGCCAGAATCGCTTCTACTTTAAAGCCGGTCGCCAACCCTACAAAACGGAACAGACTCCCAGCGGCTTTTCCACCGGGAGTCTGTGTAACCCCTTCAGACTTCATAACGGGATTATCTCGTCATAGGTCGTGAAGGGGTTAAAGCCGTTTTTTTCCCTTAAACCGGAACAGTCTTTATTAAAGTATGCGCTCTATAGAAATACACCCTACATTACTTTCAATGGGGATTAAAGCCCAATTGAACCCTCAAGATTAATTACGGTCAGGCTGCATACACAGTAAAGAAAACAAAAAAAAAATTGTTATTCTCTTATCCTGTGCTGGCAGGACAGAGTCAGACTGCTGCTCATACACACAATGCAGGGACGTGGCTCTAAGTGGCCTGACATACCTTTCCTGGTACACTGTTCCAATCAGCAACACTCTAAATCTGGCCATACATTGTACAAAATTCGTCTGGATTTTGATGAACCGGCCATAATTTGTTTAGTGCGTGGCCCTGTCCCACCCTTCTGTCTGGCATTCTTCAATGCGAAAGTTGGAAGAGATGGTTGAAACATTTTCGGGAAGCAGTGATGGCAGCCAAGTGGGTATAGTGAAAGCAGCACACCTGCCGCTGTCAGAATAAAACAGCTCAGTGTGATTAGCATTAATGGAGAAATCTCTCTTTTTGTATTTAGCCCACAGGTTGAATGAAAAAAATATAGCAGTGTATGGTCAGCTTTAGCTCCCTGAGCAGTGTTGATGTGAGAAGCGTATGGTGTGTGTAAAGGAAATTCTAACCCTTGCTGCAGGGTTGAACTAAAAACCAGCTAAACTGCATTACAGTAATAACTCACAAGGGTTTCAGTAAGCTATAAGTTGCCCAGTAATCAAAATTTGAAACATCTCAAAGGATAAATTATTAAACATGGAAAATTTGGACTGCTGTCAATTGTATAAAAAACAAACCAACATATCAATGTTTTCTTTTTCCCAAGATAACCTGTATATGTGACAACCCATGGAGAGGCTTAGCACAAATTAAGAATATACTGTATAGTCCAAATATTCTCCATTTAAATCCACAATTGCAATGAGCAAACCCAACACCTCAAGATATGCTGACACAGGATAAAAATATTCCACAGAGCTATGCAAAACCTGACTCAAAAACCAAGAGATCATGCTCTAAAAATGAAAGCATGTACTGTCTTCACAGAGCACCGGGAACAGCAATTTTATGTAATCTTCCAGGGATGTGAAGCAAATCATACAGCTGTGGCAATATTGAAGGTTTGAAACAAAATAAGAGTCCAAAGTTTCTTGGCTAGTCAGCACCATTTTATAGTACCTGATGGTATACCTTGTGCAAGAACATGTCCAAAATAAACCATAGTTTAATATCCTACTCTCATGCCAAATTCAAAACATTCTGAATCAGCAAAAACATCAAAGATGGATTATTTTTGATTAGTTGTCAAAAGTTATTTAAAAAACTTTCAACAAGCAAAGTAATGCTGTTATTCGGACATTACGATGAACACGCAAAGTCGTTTTCTGCCACAGATCAGCTGCAGAGCTAATCTGTTACTTGTAGTTCTACAGAGTCATCTTGCTGTTGCACTAATGAGAGCTATTAGGTGTTGCTGTGTTTCACCTACTGATTGATACAATCAGCTACATGCCCAGTCTCTGCCTGAGCTCAGTCTCACACTCCTTGCCTAAAAAATGTTTTCTTCCTTGTCGCAGACCCGTTCCAGGGAGTTTCTTGTACCGGAGCAATTTCCTTGTTCTTGTAACCCCAGTTTAATCATGTGACCCCCAGTGTCTCCAGCATATCCCAGAACAGCTGTGACTTCAGAGACTGTAACCCCTGTTTATCTGTGTCTCCAATGTCTTCTGTGCTCCTCTTCCTTTTAGTGACCCTTGTAACCTGCATATCCCAACTTAATCCGTGTCTCCAATAATCCCTATGTCACCCGGTGACCACAGTCATTTCTGCATGATCCGGTTTTCCTCTGTTCCATTTCCTGCCTCTCTGACTATTGACCTTGGCTTTGTCCTGGACCATACTTGTTCAATTCTCTGGGAATAAATATGGTGAATGTCGCTCCAATCCACAAAATCTGTCACAACCAGATGTTGATTGCATTTGCATAATTGGAGTCTAGGTGTTATAAACTTGCCCAGAGTGAGGTGTTAAACAGCATTGTGTATACCACATACTATGTTGTTTTAACACCTCTCTCTGGGCAGGTTAATAACACCTCCTAGACTCCAATTATGCAAATGCAATCAACATCTGGTTGTGACTAACAGATTTTGTGGATTGGAGAGACATTCACCATATTTATTCCCAGAGAATTGTTTTGTCATTCTGAATTGAGGTGGTTGGATGACCAGTGAAACGTCTTCAAGAAAAATACAGCAAGTCCAGTTGTCTTGACTTATTTACAGATATAAGATTGTCTATTTAGGGTTTACATTCCCCCATACGTGACAATTCCCAATGCACAAAAGCTGCTGGCATCTTTAGCAAAGGATGTGTCCATACGTACAAGGGGAGGTGTCACAAACTGTCCAATAACAGAACAAGCAAAAATGAAAAGACTCAAGCGTTAAAAGGAACACAGAGCTGCACATTTGGAAGTCCCTGGGCTGTTGCTATTAGCTGTTAAACCAAGTTTAGCCTTTTCTTAATCATTTTAATACACATAATCTACTCAAATCTCAGACCACAAAGCAGCTGAAGAGACAGCATATCTTGTTTGGCTAATACTACTTTGGTTTGGGTTACAAATCAGAGAAGAGAGCCAGGTTGAGAGTGGAAAGCAGGACTGAGCACACAAGCGCACAATATCTTATTGATATATATATATATATAGATATATATATATCATTTTTATTTCTTAATTGTTATATGTGGTTATTCTCAGTTTCTATGTGATCAGAGGGCAGGGTAAGAGTTTGTAAGTGTACATTGGTGGAGGTGAAGACTTACATGAACATGTGAGCAGGTCCCAGCAATTTATGAATCCACTGTCAGTTGAGGCGACAAGATATTTGGAACAATTCAATCTTCCAAAGCACAAACTCCTGTGAAAAGGAAAGAAGTAGTAGCGACCAAAATCCAGAGTTTAGAGGCATCGTATGTATTCTGAGCGCGGCACAATTTATATATATTTTCATCTGTTTGAAAAGTTACATCTGAAGGGGTTTCTTGTTTATGTGCTTGCTGCTGGTATTTATTTCTTTTGGCATTAGGTACTTTATACGTCTGTGAACTACTAGTCCTACCATCCCCAATGTAATGAAAATGAACAAAGACATAAGGAAGATAAGATTGCTTTGCCTTCTGTCCAGCTCAGAGACAGTGACAAGCACACAGCATTTCTGGAAAGATAAACAGGTATTTTTCTGTAAATGCTGAAAGTGCTCTTAGCCTGAAAAATGAAAACCAATGCAGCCACATTTAAGGATATATAAGCTGCAATAGATTACATTTTTGTCCTTGGGGTCCTTTAACCCTTTCGCTGAGAAGGATGCAAGTAGTATGTTTGAGCCAGCAGGGCTCTTTAAACCGACACCTGGCTATCAGGGCCGGATTTACCCTCCCTGCCGCCCCAAGGCCGGGTTCCACAATACGCCCCCCCCCATCAATTGAGAATGGCAACTAGAACCTCTGCACTCTGCCGCCATGAGGCCGGGCCTCGGTGGCCTTGTGGGAAATCCGGGCCTGCTGGCTATACCATATTCAGGTATCGCATCTCTTCAACTGGCTGCTCCCAGCGGAGATCGGAGGGGACACAGACCCCTGCAGCCAATGCCCAGCGGTGAGGAGAGCTCAGAAATAGTAAAAAAAAGTAAAATAAATAAAGCCCCCTGCCCTCCATTATTTAAAAAAAAAAAAACTAAAAAAAGGTGGGAAAAAGGTAAATTTTCAGCCTGACAAATTGCGTTGCGGTGCTATTCATTTCAGTGGCACTCCAAACGCGTCTCCTGCCCGCACCGGAACGCGCGGCAGCACAATGCCGTGCGTTCCAGTGCAGTGTGATTGCAAAAAATTGTGCATGCAGTTTTATTCTGAAGTAAAACTTAATTTTTTTGATTATTCAGATTTAAAAAAAAATAATTAAATACCATCTGTAATTTAATATAAGATTCACATATGGAGCGTTAAAAACATAATCAGCCAACTAATCGATTATGAAAATAATCATTAGTTGCAGACTTATTGGGTATTGCTGAAAATGTTGCCATTAGAGAAATCATTTTAGGGCCATTGGTCAACTCTAAATGAATGACCTGTAAAGGCTTTTAAAGTGTCTGTGGACAATTTGGCAAGCAATTGTGAGGTTTGAAATGTTTGGTATCTATTTCCTTGAGACAACCTCACAGAAATTGGTTATTATTATAGTGTTTGTGTGCACTAATGCAGATAACACTGTTAGAATGACTGTTATTTTTAGGCAGAGTCCACTTGATTATTTTTAGGCAATAAAAACGCAACGTCAGAGATGACACAAAACACAGCACTAGTAATCTCCTAAACTATTAGTATGTGGTAAGTATGTTATTAAACTCTAAAGCACAACTCCAGATGCTATTAAGGAAAATTACAGCTACTTACTGGTAACCATATTTCCTGAAAACAAACACGACTGATAATACACCACAACTAAAATGTTGAAAGAATGTCCTGAATGAGAGTGTTTGTTATGCATTGTGGAATCATATTTTCTACTTTGTCTGGACAAGAAAATTACTTTCTCTCTCTGATGTAATATTAATTACAATTGTTTTCCATTTTAAATAACAGTAATCAGGTTTTTAGAGACATAATGAAAACAAAGGAAAAATATAAATACACTACTCAAAAAAATTAAAGGAACACTTTTTAATCAGAGTATAGCATCAAGTCAATGAAACTCCTGGGATATTAAATCAGGTCAGGTAAGTAGTAGAGGGAGTTGTTAATCAGTTTCAGCTGCTTTGGTGTTAATGGTATTAACAACAGGTGCACTAGATGGGCAACAAATGAGACGACCTCCAAAAACAGGAATGGTTTTACAGGTGGAGGCCACTGACATTTTTTTCTGACTAGAGTCAGTGTCACTACTGGTAGCATGAGGCGATACCTGGACCCTATATAGGTTGCACAGGCATGCCAACTCCTCCAGGATGGCACATCAATACGTGCCATTGCCAGAAGGTTTGCTGCGTCTCCCAGCACAGTCTCAAGAGCGTGGAGGAGATTCCTGGACACATGCAGTTACTCTAGGAGAGCTGGACAGCGCTGTAGAAGGTCCTTAACCCATCAGCAAGACCGGTATTTGCTCCTTTGTGCAAGGATGAGCACTGCCAGAGCCCTACAAAATGACCTCCAGCAGGCCACTGGTGTGAATGTCTCTGACCAAACAATCAGAAACAGACTTCATGAGGGTGGCCTGAGGCCCCGACATCCTCTAGTGAGCCCTGTGCTAACGGTCCGGCACCGTGGAGGTCGATTGGCATGTGCCATTGAACACCAGAATTGGCAAGTCCGCCACTGGCACTCTGGGCTTTTCACAGATAAGAGTAGGTTTACCCTGAGCACATGTGACAGACGTGAAAGGGTCAGGAGAAGCCGTGGAGAATGTTATGCTGCCTGTAACCTCGTTCAGCATGACCAATTTGGTGGTGGGTCAGTGATGGTCTGGGGAGGCATATCCATGGAGGGGACAAAGACCTCTACAAGCTAGACAATGGCACCCTGACTGTCGTTAGGTATAGGGATGAAATCCTTGGACCCATTGTCAGACCTAATGCTGGTCCAGTGGGTCCTGGGTTACTCCTGGTGCACGACAATGCCCGTCCTCATGTGGTGAGAGTATGCAGCCATTTACTGGAAGATGAAGGAATTGATACCATTGAATGGCCCCCACGTTCGCCTGACCTGAATCCAATAGAACACCTCTGGGGCATTATGTCTCGGTCCATCTGTTGTCTCAATAGGAGCATGCCCCGAGGTTGTCAGGCATCCATACAAGCACGTGGGGGCCAGACAAACTAATGAGTACCATTTTGAGTTGCTGCAATGAAATTTCAGCACAATGGACTAGCCTGCTGCATCATTTGTTCACTTTGATTTTTGGGGGTGTCCTTGAATTCAGCCCTCTGTAGGATGATCATTTTTCATTTCCATCAAACGATGTGGCATCCTTTCATTCCTAACACATTACCCAGTCCAGTATACGGTAGATATCCAACGTGATATTTTTCCCCATTGAGATCTGATGTGTTTTCAAAGTGTTCCTTTTTGAGCAGTGTACATATAAACCGATGGTTATGCCTTGAGCTCATAATTAACCAAATATCAGGACTGGCTTCAATACTTTGAGTCTGTGACCCTGAACAAGCATGTAGATAAAGGAATTCTAACTTCCCTCTGACTTCACTTGCTGCATGCTTGTTCGGTAACTCAACATTTTGAAACCAGAAATGGCCAAGCATCTTCTGAATGAGTTTGACAAATATATCAAAATCAGGCAACTCTCAAATCTAATTTATTGCTTGTGATGGTATAGGTTAGCAGAGTCCCCCCCCTTTCCACATCTGAGTCAAAGACTCCAAGGGGGCAAGTCTCTGGAGCAGACCACAAAGACCATAAAAAGGAGACATGCTTTGATCAATGATACCTCTTTAAAGCAAATACAATAAATATGAATGCAGTAAATCATTATTTTATGGTTGCTGTTTTGAGCTTCCTACCTTACTTTTCCAGGCGGCTGACAAAAGGTATGTTTTAACTCCCAAGCGCTAGTCTCCCATATCGTAATAACTTCTTCAAAGCCAGCAGCAAAAAGAGAACCATCCTCAGAGAAGCAGCAGCCAAGGGCCTTGTTTTTGTGGTAACTACCTACAAAATCACAGCTCCAGCCAGTACTTTGTTCTGTAAATAAGTCCAGAAGACAGAAGCATGTATTCAGTAATCAATGAAACATACACATCAATCGTATATCCCCCTTCCCTTATTGTAATGTGTCTCTGGCTGTTTTGTTAAGGACCTCGGGTACAGTAATCAAAGGATCCTACATAAATTTTGCATATACTGTTAGCCGCTGACCCTCCTGTCCCATGTGCAGTACGCCGCTGACCAGACCCATGTGCAGTACGCCGCTGACCAGACCCATGTGCAGTACGCCGCTGACCAGACCCATGTGCAGTACGCCGCTGACCAGACCCATGTGCAGTACGCCGCTGACCAGACCCATGTGCAGTACGCCGCTGACCAGACCCATGTGCAGTACGCACCTGCCCAGACCCATGTGCAGTACGCACCTGCCCAGACCCATGTGCAGTACGCACCTGCCCAGACCCATGTGCAGTACGCACCTGCCCAGACCCATGTGCAGTACGCACCTGCCCAGACCCATGTGTGTGCAATACGCAGCTGCCCAGACCCATGTGTGTGCAATACGCAGCTGCCCAGACCCATGTGTGTGCAATACGCAGCTGCCCGGACCATGTGCAATACGCTGGTGCACTGTTCCATATTTTACTCAAAAATACACAGATGAAATGCATATGTGGGAGCTGTTTTATCTGCTAAGACTAAGATTTGCACACCTGATTTTTATCTATTATAGTTCAGTAACACTCATAGGTATCCTTTCAACCCTCACCCCATGACTGGACAATGAATGAAAAAGCAGACTGATGAGATCATCCCTTTGTAACTCTGCCCTCTCCTCCCATCAGCATGCTCCTTGCACCAATGATTGGCTACTTAAGCTGCTTTACACTCCCCAGCCTGGTCTCTGTTGTACATGGACTGCAGGAGGCTGATACAAAGTTACATTGAATTTTTTACACTTGTATTTAAAAATACATTTAAGGATGCGTTGATAAATAAAGAGCTTGATTACTGGTTTATTTCTTTATCTGCTTGGGGTTTAGGGTTAAGAATCTCTCTCACCCAAACCAACTTCCATTAATGCGTATGCACATGCTTGCAAAATGGCTTGACAAACCTTCGGTAGGCAGGCAAACACTTACATGAAGGTATTGTTCTTGAGGAAGGAAATGACCCGTATCTATAAAATTAGGTAAATGTCTAATGACAGTTCCATATGTAAAGGGAAGTTGTAGCGTTTTCTATTCTATATTCAGATTAAGAAAAGGGGCATAACAGATCTATATTAGATGTAGAAAATGCCTACAATGGCACACATTATGGTTGACCTTAGAATTCTTCCACTCCCAGCTCAATTTAAAGTGCATTTCATTTCTGCAGCCAAGTTGGGATAACACCTATTTTATATTCATGACGTGTTACTCATGAACACAGCACAACTTGCATTTTTTTAAAATAGCTGCTTGCACAATACATGCTTTTCTGAAAGAAAAGTTGTTCTCTGTAGAATGCTTTGCTTTGGAACACGAGGGCTGGGCAGTTAACATAATTAACCCCTGTCTGCACTGTGCTGGCAGATGTCCATCAGCTGTAAACTAGATCTGAACAATGTCTGACCTAACAAAGGTTAAACGAGAGCTATGGGGCAATGTTTTTTTTCTCCATAGTTCTGCTCAGGGTCACAGAAGGACATATACTGTGTCCTCCCAGGACCCAAAACGCAGTATATAGCGGGCTATTGCCTGCTATATGCTGAGAGCGTCACAGCCGGGATGGATCCCGACAATACTGTCGAGATCCACCCAGCTGACTGATTGACATCTGGCTCTGCCCACCTCCTTCCCAGTCTGTTCTTCCTGTCAGCGCTGGAGGACTGGAGAGGGATGGGGGGAATCCCTTCGGGGAGCGGTGACCGACAGTGACATCTCTCTGCAGGGAGATAATCGGAAGTGAGCGGATGAGCGGTATGTTTTTGCTCACTTCCCGATCAAAACAGCCAATGTGTGACAGTTTCATTGTCACACGTCGGCTAACTATGTGGATGAGTGTAATTCACTCAACCCATGGCTCTCCATTAAAGATCTAGAAGCATTAAATGTTAATAAGGGGGGAGCTCATTCTGTCCTTAATCCTTCTATGAGAAAATAGGATTTTTGTACTCACCGTAAAATCCTTTTCTCTCCGTTCATTGAAGGACACAGGCAACAGATCGTAGATCCTGAATGGTAGGGTAATATCGCCACCTGCAGGAGAAGGACGCTAGGCACAAAACTAAAGACCAATTACAGCCTAGGGGCGGCCCCTGCCGGTGGCCAAACCCCCCACCTGCTGACAAGTCTCCAGTTTAGTAACAAGCAGTTAGGAGTGTACACCCCATAAAGAGGGCGGGGCCTGTGTCCTTCAATGAACGGAGAGAAAAGGATTTTACGGTGAGTACAAAAATCCTATTTTCTATAGTGGAAATGACCGCATCGGACAACCCCCGGTCCTTCAGGACCCGGCTCTCAGTAGCCACGCCGTCAAAGCCAGCGACTGTAAAGAAGGATGGAACACAGGACCCAGGGACAGAAGATCGGGGCGCAGAGGCAGACGCCACGGGCGTCCACCACCAGCCGAACCTCGTCCGCGTACCACGCCCCCCGAGGCCAATCCGGGGCCACGAGGACGACAGTGACGCCCTCGACCTCGATCCGACACAGCAGCTGAGGCAACAGATACAGTGGAGGAAAAAAAAGGTGTAAATTAGACCGTAATGGGGCCACCAGGGCATCCACGGCCTCCGCCCAGGGTCCAGGGCCCGGGCCACAAACCTGTCCACCTTGCGGTTGAACGGAGACGCCAGAAGATCCACCTCCGGCGTCCCCCAGCGACGACAGAGCTGCTGAAAAAAACCTCGGGTGCAGAGACCACTCCCCCGGATCCACCCACTGTCCACTGAGGTAATTGGCCTGCCAATTGTCCACTCCCGGGATGTAGACCGCCGAGAAAGCGCGCTGCATGCGCGTCACGAACCCAGCCACGACAGAAGAAAAAACTTCCAGGGACAATGCGGTAACCGCGGTACCACCCTCTCCCCCTGAAGCACCAGAGGGGCGCACGGGCGAGAGGCAAAGCAGCGCAGGCGTACAGGCCGCACAAAGAGGGGATCTAGAGGGGTCCGCAGAGCGCAGCCCACAACCCTCACAAGGCAATGCAGGAGTGTCATCCCTGCGATCCATTGCACACCCGCAGAAAAACAACTACCCCACAGACCAGATACCACCAAACAAGGGAGCCATCAACTCACGACCCCCTGCGTTTGTCCCAGCCCAGAGAGAATCTCTGCCGCTGTGACCTCCATCCACGGCGTCCACGAGCCGAAAGGAATGCCCTCCCCATCCGCCCGAGGCTATAGGAAGCCCGGGCGGAAGTGACGTAACGAATGGGCAAAGTTGCCCATATGCAAGATGGCGGCCGCTGAGCCGCCTGGAGGCCGCAAAAGCCGGGGCCTCGAGTAGCGACGTCTGGCGCGGATGCGGCCGCCCTGCACAGGCGAGAGTTTCTTGTCACTTGGAAGTTGAGAGAGAAGCTTGCAAAGGCCTGCTACACAGACATATAAAAAAGAAACAATATTTTTTTTTCCAATTCTTTTTCGGAACGCTATGTGAATAGGAACACATAACAAACATAGCAGGGTTTTCTCAAATTTGACTGCAAAAGTTGAAATACACTTAAAAGATTAACCCAGTGTAAATGTAAAATATATACATGTAAGGCATTTTGATGCAACTTTGACATTTATCTTGATGTTCTATACTGTCTTTATGTAATTCAGATGTGGAGACCCCTATGTGTGGCTAAAGGTGCCCATACACTGCTCGATTCTCATACGAGAATCGGGCGAAATCCCGCGATCGTATGAGAATCGAGCAGTGTGAACGAAGACGTGCGACCGTTTCTACTGTACGGTCGCACGTCTTTTGTCAAACCAACATGCTCGAAAACTCGCCGAGAATCGTACGATTGTCGGCGGGTTTCTAGCCTGCTCGTCCGATAGCTGCGGAACGGGCTGCTGTGCGCACACTGCCCGTTCTGCATTGCGGTCATCGGAAGCCCGCCCCTCAGCGGGGCGGGCTTTCGATGATCGCAAGTACGATCTGCCCGTCCAAGGTGGGCAGATCGTACAAGCTTTCAATAAGCATACGACCATCGCAAGACAAAAGTGTATGGGCACCTTAAGTTTTACACAGCACAATCAAGGCTGATTGACTGCCAAGATAAAATCAATAGCAGTATAGTTAATCAAGGGTGTATTATTTTCAGTCTTGGCAGACCCCATTCATGGAGATCACAGGGTCCTTGACAATTCCTGTGCTGCCCAACTAAGAGAAAAAGCACAAAAACATACAGAATCAAATATGTCTTCCTGTGAGCAAATTTCATCAAACAATACAAAGCTTTAGAAACATTAGCACTCACTAACGATTTACAATCTTTGAAAAGGTTCAATAGAAAAAGATGGATATGGTGACTTACTGTATATGTCAGAGTTGTCTCTTAGTACCCAGACTTTAAAGAGACCATCATTTCCTGTAGTCACCAAAGATGGATGATCCTTTTCTGAATCACCTCTGTTCTGAAAGGCTAGGGATGTTATATTGGCTTCATGTGGCATACTTATTGTGGTATTTAGTACAAAACTTTAAAGAAGGGAAAACAAGATTAAAATTAGAAGACAGTCTGTGTGTAAGGATATTGAACATACTTCAGGACTTAGTCTTTACAATTTTAGAACGTCAATAATCATTTACATTAAAAATAGAACTGTGTTAAAAGTGGCAAAAAAAACAAAAAAAGGCTGCCCATAAAAAATGCTGCATTTTTATAGGTACGTATGCATTTACTATTCATAACGCTAACATTTCTAACATTTTAACCAATTACTTTTAAATTGCATGATCGGAAATTGCTAAATGTGTTCCATTTAAAAAAAAAAAAAAAGAAGAATATTCCTCAAATCTTAAGGTGCCCATACACCTTACAACCATCGCAAGACTTTTGTCTTGTGATGGTTGTAAGCTAATTGCGATAACAGCAATGCTGAACGGGCAGTGTGCGCTTGCGAGGCCAAAAACCCGCCGACAATCTCTTTCAATCAATTCTCGGCGGGTTTTCCAACATGCTCCTTCGACAAAAGACGTGCGACCGTACAGTAGAAACGGTTCCATACACCTTGCGATTATCGTACGATCGCGGGATTTCCCGTGATTATCGTATGATAATCGCAAGGTGTATACAGCACAGACAGAGCAACAGAAACCATGCCTCTGTAGGAGAATTGGGTCCCGTCCTTGCCATTTGCCATGTGCAAATGTGAACATATTACAGTGAATAATCTAAAAGTTGATGTAGAGTGTCTATGTACTTTTATTGTATTCAAGACTAACAAAATGAAATTAGAAAATATTTCAAATCAAGTGTAAAATGAAAATATTGCATGTATTTTACATAAACATTTCTAGCTAGAAGGGGGTGTGCTGTGCTCCTTTTACCATGTTTACACAGATTTAAAAAAGCAGTGCCCTTCCCTACTTCAAATAAAAGGCTTTAAATATACCGAAAGTGTTTTCCTGCGTTTAAAGCACACATTAAACACAGATCAGCAGATCCCCATGTACTTCAGGGGTGCAGTGTGGATGGCAGTTTTAGACCTGTTCACACCTGCACATTCCATGAAAGTGCACCAAACACACGCATTGATGAACTGCATCAAAAATATGCAACGCGATTTACCATGCACTGACACATGTGAAATGCGCACAAGTAATGGTGAAAGCAGAATGTAGCAGAATCTGCTGCATGAGATATTTTCCTGCATTTGTTGCATGTACAACACCCATAAAAATCAATGGGCGACATGCAAACAAACAAACATGGGGAAAAATGCACGCGAATGCGATGCGCATTCACAAAACAGAAGGTGTGAACATGTCCTTTAAAAGCAGTGGCATCACAAGGGGGGTGTGACCTGCACTGGGTGACATCAGAGGGGGCAACACCAAAATTACTGTCATTTTGGTATCACCCTCTCTAAAAAGTCAGGCACTCTGTCATGGACCTAGTGCCCGACAGCTGTACAAGAGAGGAGGGGCTTATCCCACCAAATAATGTCCCCTCATCTCTCTGCCGGCGTCCATCACCGAGATGGCTGCTGGCAGTTAACGGAGTGTGCCATCATAACGCACATGCATGATGGTGTCCCAGCGGGTGACACCCTGCCTGGGGATGCCTCTGCCTTACTGTACTGTATATTTCCACTTTTGTAGTCAAATTGGTATAACACCTAATTTACATTAGTTGCATGTTTCCATTTACATAGCACAACTTATTTGTGAAAAATGAACAGACATTTAATGAAAAAAAATTGCAGATTACCTTTTCTCAATTATATTTCTACATACTCCATAACAAAAACTAGGGATGCACCAATATATCGGCCGCCCAAACATATCGGCCGAAAATGGCATTTTTGGCATAATGCCGAAAGTGCCATTTTCCTGCCGATACATGGGCGCATCCCTGCTTTCTATCCTCCCCGCTGGGCGCTGCTCTGTGTCCCAGCGGGGAGGAGAGAAACTGTGATAGCCAGCCGAGCGATGCGGGAGGAGAGCGCTGTGAGTGGCTGGCGTCTCTCCTCCCACACCGCTCAGCCTCCTATCACAGTCCGGCAGAGCGGTGTGGGGGCGGAGACAGGCCGCGCTGTCACAAAGAGGCTGAGCCCTCCTCCCACACCGCTCGATCAGCCTCCTGTGACAGCTGTCAGAGAGGAGAGCGAGGTACAATCAGTGATCGCTGAGTGTTAGAAGATAATTGAGGACATGGTATGTGTACTATATCCTCAATTATGAATGAATGGGAAGTGATCTACATCACCTCCTGTTCATTCATAGTTGTAGTTTTAGTAAACATACTATTTTCTCAAGTTATCAATGAACAGGAACACTCAGAGGATTACTGTTCATTGATAACAGGGGTAACAGTGTAAGAAGGTGAGGCTGCAGTTCACCTTTAAACAGAAATTGTTATTTTTCTATAGGTTCTTCTGGTTACCTCTGCAGCTGTTCATTAAATTCCCAGAGCTTCATCTGCACATCAGGCGTTTTTGTATTCCCTTGTAATTCTTCCACAGTTGCTAACCAGTCTCCTTTACTGCTGAATGCTGCCTTGTCCAGATCCATATACTGGAGCCCCGACTGATGAACAAACTCTTGCTGTACAATGTCCAGCTGTACAAAAATAAAAAAAGAACATCACTTTAATGGTGTTTCATGAGAAAGATTGCAGGAAGATAATGATGACTGAAAAAAGTAGTCCACTGAGGGACACAGGAAGTCTTTAACATTAGGGTTACACTGCCGCCTAAAAGGAGTACTGGACCAGTCACTGCCGTTGCCGGTCCAGAGATCCGCTGGGACCAGTGCGGCCGGGACTGGCACGGCTGCTCTGTGACAGAAGATCAAAGGGAGATGGGTCCCTCTGATCTCCTGTCCCCGAATGCAGGAAGTGATGTATATTACATCACTTCCACATTCACTGGGGAGAAGCTGGTGAAGCAGATCTCTGCTTCATCAGCTTCTCTGGGGGTCCCAAGGTGACATTAGGGGTCTTGAAGTTCCCAGATGTCTCCATAAAGAGGACCTGTCATGTAAATTGGCTTTTACATAGGGGGCTTCTTAGCCCTCTATGTGATAGTAATAAAGTTAAGTGTAAAAAAAAAAAAAAAAGAAGAGTGAAATGAAAGCATAAAAATAATAGTCCCCCGTCCCCCACATACACACGCAGATATATGTCGGATGCGCCTACGCGGGAAAATTATGATTCCGCCTATTGTGCCATATGTTACATAACCCCCTGAACATCGGAGTGTGAGCAATAATTTTAGGGCTATTAATTACTGATAACACTAAACTGATGAGCAGTAAAAGTGTTTAAAGCGTCGCCTATGGCCAATTTGCAGTGTGGTAATTTTTTTGCAATTTTTCGGGCGCGCAATTTTAAGGCTTGACATGTTTGCTGTCTGTTTACCCGACGTGACCCGATCTTTTATATTTTACCAAAAATATGGGTAACAATAAATGTTTAACATAACGTAGGGAAAACATTTTTTTAAAATTTACAGTACTCCCAGTGGTGATTACCGTATTTTTCCGCTCCATAAGATGCACTCCCCCCCCCCAAAAGGCGAGTAGTTTTTTTGTACATTTAGCCCTGCTCCGGACAAGCAGAGCTAAATGTATAGTGTGGAGCCACCGCTCGTTTTCATACAAGTGATCTGAATAGATCACTTGTATGAAAGGAGCAGCGGTGATCCTGTCCGGCCCCCCCGCCACGGTTTTTAGGGTCCCCCGCTCTTCTGGGGGACCCGTAACCACGGCATAGGAGCTCACCATAGAGTCCGTAGAGCAGACAAAGAACGTCTGTTCTTCGTCTGCCCTGTGTGATCACTGAGACCATGGCGCTGTAATCACAGCGCCACCTGTCTCAGCTGTCAGGAACTACACAGAACCCTACCCTCCCTAGGTGCGTCTAATGGAGTGAAAAATCCGGTGTATACCACCAAACGAAAGCTTTATGTGTCCCTAAAAAAATGTTAACATAAATTGCAAGACTATAGGTCTGGTCATGCTGACTGGTGAAATTTTTGACTGATTGGTGAGACACCCTAAAAAATGTTAAGCCCCGTTAATGACGGTGGCAAAAAGAGGTCTGAAAAAAAAAAAAGAAATGACATCCCTTGAAGGGTAGCCTAGCCAAATATGCTTGGAAGAATCATCAGCATCCCAAGTCCACAGCCATAGTGCCCTATGTATTTGAAAAGGAACATCAGTCCCAAGAAGCAAATCCGTGTTTAGAACTGTAAAAAACCATCACAGCTAAAGTATAAGACTCCTCGCATTTGTTCTAATCACTTAGCGAAACGGGACCAAGCCTAGCTAGCCATTTCGACAAGATTTGGCAGAGCGAGGTTGGCGCCAGTATAAGGCAGAGGTCCACACAAGTTAAATCAAACTGGGATCTATGGAGGAAACATAACTACCAGTCAGAGAAATCCTGGAATGTGAGCACGCCATCCACCTACCTGCTAGACTGCTTGTTAAGGGGGACCACTGGAGCATCTACAGAGGGTATAGATCACTGGTCCCTAAACTCCCTTGCGAAAGGGAACAGCTCTGACACACTGGTGGGTTGCCCAGGATCCTTCAGGATGCTCCTAGTCATCAAACAGAAATTACCTAAATAGTGGGTGTATCAAGAAGGTCTATGCAGCTACAAGAACCACCCTACCCTAAAACATGGAATAAAAGGCTGATCCTCCAAGTGTAGAGTGGCGCGCACTGGAAATGAAGCAACCCCCTGAGGATGTGGGGCATCTGCAGGAAACTGTAGTGCCTCAAACACAGCCTCATTATAGTTAGACTGTTGGGACTATGATTCAGAATTACAGATGGTAACAGGAGCCATGGGTTCAATATGGCTTGGGGGCTCCAAGAGTGCCAAAAAAACTGAGCGCAACAGGCTGGCAAGTCCAGAGTGATCTCTGTGGGCATGGGGGAGGCTTAAAGGAGAACTATGAGATGAGTGATTTCCACTCACCTCATAGTTGTAGCCGACCTGTGACAATGAGACTGTCACAGGTTGGCTCAGTAGATCGGGAGGTGAGCGAACACATACCGGGTTCGCTCGCCTCTCGATCCTGTCACGGCTCTCTGCCGTGACAGGGGGAGGGGCTGGATTCCCCTCTCCCCGCTCCGATCTGCCAGCGCTGACTGGCGGAACGGACGGGGGAGGGTACAGCTGGCTCTGCCTCTAGATAGTCAGAGCCAGCTGTCACTCACGCAGCTGGGCGGATCCCGACGTCCATGTCGAGATCCGCTCCGGCTGCGGCATCTCAGTATACCGCCAGCTGTAGCTCGCGGTATACTGAGCTTAGGGTAACGGGAGGACGCTAGTTTGTGTCCTCCCGTTACCCTAAGGAGAACTATGGGGAAAAACACTGACCCCATAGTTTTCCTTTAAGAAGTGTCTGTGCTGGGTCAGATAGCAGTATGCACTTGACAACTCCACCCACTCTGGACAGTGCTGGTGTGATTACATCAGCACTGCCTGTCCAGAACTACCGGGGGGCAATTAGGGGTGCTCTGCTATGAAAAGGATGCAGCAGTGACTGGTTGGATGTATAGGAAATTCATGCCCCAAGACCTCTGTTTTACTTGCACAAGAGAATGTATCAAAGAATGTACCACAGAACTACACTTGAGCTGGAAGTTTTGTTTAGAGCTCAACTTTAGTGTAACCCTGGAAAATATTAAACTAGCTTTTCTTGCGCAGTCCCATCCCTTGTCCTAAAGTAAAGGTGGCTAATAAAACATGTTAAATACAATTTTAATGTAATACTACACAAAATAGTAATGTAAGGTAGAAATAGATAACCAAAACAAATAGTGATGCAGATCTAACGTCTATTATAAGCTTACATTAAAGAGTTGTTTGTCATCATGAAGGGAATAAAACTGGAGATGACCAGGTTTACCATTGAGAACCAGGGCTTTGCTTCTAGGGTCAAAAATTAAACCAGTCTTTACATTAGTCCCTGAAGAAAAGAAAAAAAGTACATTATTAATTGGTCATGTTTAAATGGTAGAAAAAAAATCTGCAAGTGTTAATACATCAAAGCATTACAATCTAAGCTTTATGTAACTTCCACCCCCAAAAAGACTGAAGATTGTGGAGAAGGAAGAAGTGAACAATCTAGGACAACATAGCTGAACTGGAAAGTGAGCTGAATTGGAGAATTTTCCTAAATCACCTTCTCCAAACTCTTTACCCTTTTGTGAATAGCCTTGTTAATATTCTTAGTCCTAAAATAAGAATGAGGGCTAATTTGACACTTTGAGACAACACAGAAATCGTGCACAAGAACACACCTCTGACACGATCAACAGGTATTTTTTTTGCAATTATTAAACAGCTATCACAAAAAGCTATAAATGCTATATTTACCAGACCAAAAGGGAACAAATAAGAAGTAAATTGTTAGGATTTCCAATAATTTTAAATGCTTGTAATTTTTTTTGTACAGATATGGATTGAAAATTATGAAAGCATACCTTTTACTAGCCCTTGGATGATCCCGGTTGTTTTTAGTCCCACGTCTATAATTGTTATCTCTGTTAAAACAAGAATAAAAGTTGTAAAAGAAAAAGAAAAAAAAAAAAAAGAAAGGAAAAAAAACCCCCAAAACATTTTTGCATTCATTCTAGAATCCTTTTCTTAGAGTTCATAGAGGGATACAGGAAGTCTTTAGCTTTCGGGTTGTACTGCTGCCCACAGAACGATTAGACACTGACAAACAAAAAAACTGTAGGCCAGTCCAGGATAACCCCTTCTAGGCTCATATTACCAGAATGCCTCAGTTTTGTAACAAAGCAATATTGGAAGCATGATTGGAAACACACAGCAGTGGGACTGCATGGATTTCAGGAAAAGGATTTATGGTGAATACAAAAATCCTATTTCGTTTCTCAACCATTGAGGGGCACAGGTATCCATCTTTGGGACATCCAACAGCAGTCCAACTGAGGGGTGGGAAACAAAGCGCTCAGACGCAAACAGGCTCAAGAAAACAGAGAACCGGGGGCTCAAAAGAGCCAGTTGAAGGACCTTACACCAAAAGCTAGCATCAGATGAGGCTAAAACCCCCCAGCTGGTAGAATTGAAAAAAAACATGGGTACATAAGACCAGGTTGCAGCCTTTAACAATTGCTGCATAATGCTGAAAAGCTTAGATAGAACTCAGTCATGTGCCTTTACAGGAGAGGGTAAAATCTGATGCCCGATTCCATAAGCTTGGATGATGGTCTATCTGAGCCAACTAGAAAGGGTGGAACAAAAAGCCAGAGAAGCCTTCAAGGGTTTCATTTGGGCAGATACAAATAGATAGACTCCCTGTACAAAGGTCTTGACCTCCCTGGTGGTCTGATTATTTCCTTTTTTTGTTTGTTTTGTTTTTTTAATTCCCGCCGGTTCCGCCCCTTTGCGATGCGGAGGCTCGCAAGGGACGGAACCCGGAAGACGGATGCCGGCATTGGCCAGAGGACCGAGTGTGGCTGGGGGTTACCGCTTATTGTACTGAAAATTAAACCCGAGCCACACTTGGGATTACCGACAAGAGGTTAATCAAGAAAGAGGCCAATGGAAACAGGAATGAAAGAGCAGAAACCTGGCCCTTGGTACTGCTGAGAGCTAAACACTGGTCAAGACCCAGCTGCAGGAAGTAGATTCATTTCATGGAGAAAGTGAAGTATGCCTTCCACATTCCATGACAGACCCAACAGGAAGTAGCCTTCCTAGCCTTTAGCATGGTAGGAATTACAGATTCAAAGATGGCCCTGTCCCTCAAAACTTGGGCTTCATCAGCTATGCTCTGCTAAAAGCTAGGCAAAAAAAGCTAGTACAACAATGGTGGAAAGCTGCAACTGAAGAGACAAGCTCTAGAGGTGATGTAGAGAAGAGTCTTAAAAGAAAAAAAAAAAAAGTTTGAAAATTAAAAAAAAAGTGCTGAAAATAGGTTAGTGTTTCAAAACAGTGGAGCTAAAGAAAAAGACATCCATGTTCCTAGGATTCAGTTTGCCAAAGCAATGTACACTGGGATTGCCTTATCAGCAGAGCATGGCTGGGAAATCTCATTAGATCTCAACGAAAGGCATTTTCCTCCCCTGAGATGATGTGCATGGCCATATGTCCACAGTAATGCAGGAAGTAAATTGAGAGCTAGTAATCTGCCCTTAGTAAACATGGCCAGTGTCTGAAGACTGGAGAAGAAACGAGAAATAAGGTATGCAAAGAATACAAAGCCTGCAATTATCTGGAAGTATGTGTTTGTAGATTGTCATTACTACACATTTCTAAAGGTGTGTTTGTTGTTTAAAGATATGGGTAAAGTGATCCCAGCCATCCCATAGATCAAAAGTAATGACATATATTTTAATACAGGTGTATTAAAATGTTAATGCCTAGACACAAAATGTTAGTTTTCTGCAAAATGTCTTCCTTCCATCAAATACATGAAATTGAGAGATATTAAAACAACTTTAAAAACAAACAGTCAGAAATATGCCATAAGCTTACTGTTATCTTTATGTGATGTGCAGTGCAGAGAGCCATCAGGAGAAGTAGAAATATGTTCAATAGCTGCTCCTAAACGTGGCAGAAATTCCTTCTTCTGTTCCAAGCTGAAAGACCACTGAACCAGCACAGATTCAACACCACCACTAAATAACACGGTACCTAAACACAGAACATATATATGCCTTTACTGTTACTGATAAAGAATAACTGCAGAAAGAGACACTTCTTTTCAAATCACACAGCAAACACGGATAGGTTACAGGTCCCTAATAACCAATACATCTCCTACATATTTTAAGGCAATACATGAATTTGGAGATTGACTACATCCTAAAAAAAAGGAAAAAACTAAACAATGGCCTGCATGCTAGCCCTGATACCTAACACAATATTACAGTAAACATTGCACCAGTCCAAAGCTTTTTTGCCTTTTTAATGTTAGTATCCCATCAATAAATAAAATGTTTCCACATTTCCCATGCATGCCCCAACTTCTCCACAAGATGGTTTTGTACGTATCTGTTTCCAGAAGTCTGCAGAGCAGAGCCCATGTTATCAGCAGCTATGCTGAATGGCTGGTGAGCAGAGGTAAAAGGGAAAGTTTATACATACTGCAAATGCCAATGTATTTATTTATGGAGGGGGGAGAGGAGAGGGGGCATAGTTTTGCATAGGTGAACGGCGTACTTTTAGTAGCTGAGCGGCTCTTACAAAATAAATGTTTTTTTCTTTGGAGAATTAGGGGTAGATAAATGTAGGCTCACCTAGGTCATTCCAAGAAAGTTGCAGCATGTTTATTTATTACATTAGATCTGCTCTTTCACATTTTTCAACAATTATTTGTAACTATTCAGAGACTCTACAATTAAATAAATAAAAAACTAGTTGTCTAAGGACTAAAATGGGGGCCCAATCTACTTGCCCCTTATGACAATCTACTTATCATGATGCCAAAAATAACTTATCATGATGCCAAAAATAACTTAACAACCAAAACTGTATGTAAACTGTGCTAAGAAGCGCTTCTCATTGGTCAGTGTGGTCACCAGACTGCACTGACCAAGTGCTTGTAATTTGCAAGCGAAATTAAAAATCCATAGCGCAGGGCTGCGCTGGATGGCAGTATGGGTACAGATAGTACCCGTACCGGCAGAGCGGGGGGGGGGGGGGAGAAATGAAAGTACTGGCAAGAAATTACATTTTGTGTACTTTTTCCCCAACAATAAATTTTGCAGGTAAACAAACACACAACTACACACGCAAAAAGGACAATAGTGTTTTTAATACAAACCATGCACGGAAAATGCAAGATCAGCAACAGCATCATGATGCCAATGTAGGGTGGAGTATGTGTATTCTTGATCGTGATTGAAATTTCTCCTATATAAAACAGGAAACAGCATATTTTGCAATCAGACTATGCCATACACAGTTCAAGCATTGATTTTGATTAAATTTTCACATTTATGTGCCCAAATAGCTCAGGTTTCCTTAACTTTAAAATATGTAGCTGTATCCCCTCAATCCTGTCCAAGGTACGCCTTGGAATATAGGTTCCACTGCTTCAAAAGAAGCACACTGACTAACCAGCAACAATGTTAAAGCAAATGTAAACGCCAATAAACTTCTTATTTTCTTCCTTTTGAGCTATTAAATATACCTCTATTTGTTTACTTGTGTAAACAACACTGCACTGGTTCCTCGTGACTGGCCAGCGCTGTCACATGGGGATAGGAAAGGTGTCCATAGCCCTGGGTAAGCTTAGACAAAATAGTCTGGTGCTTACATGGGGCTTTATCTTGGCCGGAAGGCCTAATACCAAAATAATAACAACAGGGGTGTGGAAATTTAAAAAAAAACTAGTTGTCAAAGGACTAATGCGGGGGCCGATCTACTTGTCCCTCATGGAAATCTACTTGTCCCGATACAAAAAAAGAAAAAAAAAATGTAACCAAAACCGTATTTAGCAGTACCAAGAAGAGCTTCTCATTGGTCAGTGCTGTCAGGTGACTGCGCTGACCAACGAGTGCTTGCATTTTGCGAGCGAAATTCAGAATACATGGCACAGGTAGATAGTACACCCATACTGGCGGATGGGAAGGACCGTTCTCTGAAAGGTAAGAATAGCGGGAGGGGGCCAGATTTGTGCAGGTAATTCAATTTACCCTTTGGTGCGGGTGCAGACTTGGGTGACCGTGTGCGTTCGCCACGCGGCACCATTGATTTCAATGGGGTTACATCCGGTAATCGCTGAAAAAAAAGGTACAGGTACTGAAAAAACCTTTTTCCGCGACACGCACCGTGTTTTCAACCGTGATTATGTACGATTGCACGGGCGTTATTGCGGTGGGAAACTGCGCAATCTGCCTGACGCGTCTGGGGTGCCATTAGACAATAATGGCACTGCCAGCGCAATCGGCGATGGTGTGCGCTTCTGTGACCGCCCGGCCATCCACGCGGTTTTGTGCACGATTGCCGCGCGGTAACGGATCGCCCACTCCGCGCGTGCACACACACACACCCCATGCATGCGTTTATTCGCATGCAGTTGATAGGGGTTGGTTTTAATTTTAGATTTTTTTTGCTTTGTAATATTTTTTATTTTTATTCATTTTTTAAATTATGTATTTTCAAGGTTCTCCTGTGACAAGAAGGCTGCATTCCTGTGTCACTATTCACACGGAGCCGAGTAGAGAAGCGTTCTCTGCCCTGCACCATGCTCTCTAAACTAATTTGCCGTAGGCACGGATCCCCCACAAGAGGGGGGGGCGAAGACCACAGCAAAAGAAGCCCGGAGAGAGAGGCAGCTGAGAACGGTACACGGCCGGCCGTCGGAGAGAGAGAGAGAGAGAGAGAGAGCGAGAAAGGGGAGTGAGATTCAGGCAAGTTACAAGTGGTTTTGGACGGCTGTACAGCCGTTCAAAATCACTTGTACAAAACGGCTCCCACACTACATTTAGCCGTGCTGCTTGCGTGCAGCCGGGCTTAATGTAGAGAAGAAAAACTACTCGCCCGAAACTGCCTGTCCTGGGCGTCGGGCGATAGGAATTCCACACCCCTGTAATAATGAGATCCATAAACCTAACTGTTCACATTTTGCTGTTACCGTATCGATTGTGCCAAAATAGGAATTTTGTACTCCTCATAGAATCCACTGTGGGACACAGAAATTCTGATCTTGTCGGGATATACAGCGGAATACAGGAGGATATGGACAATGACAAACATAAAATCCATAGGCCAGCCCTGGATAACTGCTCCTTGACACACAATACCTCATTCTGTAGCAAGCAGTAACAAGATTATGATCATAAACACAGAGAGTCCCGCAAAAGACTCAGAGAAAAAGATTTCACGGCAAGTACAAAATTTTTTTTTTTCTTGTCCATTGAGGAATACAGGAATTCAGATACTGTCAGGACATCCAAAAACAGTCCAAATGAGGGGTAGACAAAAGAGCAAAAACCTCAAAACAGACCCAAAGAAAAGAACTGGGGACTGTCTGCAGCCGGAGCCACCGAAAGGACCAACACCTGGATCTGAAAACAGATGAGGCCCAGGAAATCAAAATAATACTCAAGATCAAGACCGAAGATCATCACCAGAGGGGAACAACTCCACACAAACGAACACAGAACCTGAACTAGCAAAAAGCTACCGTATATACTGGAGTATAAGCCGTCCCGAATATAAGCCGAGGTACCTAATTTTACCACAAAAAACTGGGAAAAAGTATTGACTCGAGTATAAGCCTAGGGTGGGAAATGAGGCAGCTACTGGTAAATGTACAAAATGAAGATAGATACCAATAAAATTACATGAATATTTATTTAAAAGAAAAACAATAACCTAGCTCTGTAAGTGGAAAAGGGGGTACAGGGCTACATATCATGTACTACGGATCATTTAACCCATTCATATTAGCAGAGGATAATTGTAAATCTATTGTTCAGTGCATTCTATATGTAGTATATAGTACATGTACATATAGAGTGCCTGCAACAATACATTTACAATGATCCTCTGCTAACATAAATGGGTTAAATGATCCATGGTACAGGGCTACATACAGATCATTTAATCCATTCATGTTAGTATAATTGTAAATGTATTGTCTGCACTGTATTAGCAGTATATACTCTGTATAGAGTATATACTGCTAATACAGTGCAGACAATACAT